GCAACTTGAAATTAATAAGCTATTTTGAAGATCTTCTATTTAAGGGCTATTGTTCAACTTTTTGAATAATCTTTTGCTACTGTCTTGACCTGAGAAAGCCTAGAGGAGAGAGAGAGAGGGAGAGAGAGAGGATCTTGTGAGGGGGAGCTTATGAGGGAGATTCATAAGGGTTTCTCCAAGCATCGTTCTACTTCTTCTTCCACTAGAGTCTCTTGTCCTTGGAAGGGTTGGGAGAGGTAAGCTTTAGCGATTGATCGAGGTTCTCTGCCTGCTTCAGGAGGAAACAAAAGGAGTTGGGTTCTCTGCATTGTTGGGGGTGGCAAAAAGGAGGTTTTTGTAAGAGCTTATCTGCCATGCTGTGGGAGCAAAAGGAGAGTCACTTTGGTAGTGCAATACTCGGAGGGCACCTCTGGGGAGTGGACGTAGGTCGAGTTGACTGAACCACTATAAACCCTTGTGTTCTTTTTTCTTGCTTCCGCACTTATTTTCTCTGTGGTGATTTGGTTTGAGCTTTGTTGGTCTTTGGTTTAAAGATTTTTTAAAATACCAATTCATCCCCCCTTTTGGTTAGCCTTGAAAGTTCATAAGGGCCTAACATCCCTAACAAACTTTCAAGTGGTATCAAAGCGGGATTCTTAAAAACTGAGTTTAAAAACTTTTTGAATTTTTATCCATGGCTAACTTTAGAAATCATAACACAACTGAAGGATATTCTATTACTCAACCACCCTTGTTTGACAATCTACCTTTTGATTTTTGGAAAACTCGCATGTCTACTTTTTATAATCAACTGATTATCGCATGTGGATGCTTATTAAAGAAGGATATTCTCCACCTTCTCGTGAACTTAATGGAATTAAAACTGAAGTGCCTCTTACTGAATAGACTTTTGATGAAAGAGATTTAGCTCAACTCAATGCAAAGTGTTTGAATTATTTTTTCTGTGCTTTAAAATTTGAAGACTACATGTGTGTTTCTACTTGCTCTACTGGAAAAGAGATTTGGGATAGGTTGAGCATTACTTATGAAGGAACCAATGAAGTTAAGCAATCTCATTTGAATATTCTCTTGCATGATTACGAACTTTTTTGTATGAAACCTTCTGAATCAATTTCTAATATGAAAAAAAGGTTTACCTAGATTATAAATTATTTGCTTTCCTTAGGAAGAGAACTTTCAAATTATGAAAAAGTGAACAAAATTTTGAGATGCTTTCCTTCCTCTTTTGATGCTAAAATCTCCGCCATTACTAAATCTAAGGATTTGAATACTTATTCAATTGATAACTTACTTGGCTCACTCATTGGTTATGATCAAGGAGTGAATCAAAGAAATTTGGATGCAGGTGAGAAAAGAAAGGAGAAAGTTATGGCATTGAAGGCCAACGACACGAACTCCGACTCTTTCGGGTCTGAAAGTGATGAATTTGTCTTAATCATAAGGCAATTCAAAAGCTTTCTAAGAAAGAAACAAAAGTATCATCAAAAGTGGAACAAAGGTAAGGGAAATAAAAATTTTAAGAGCTCTAATGACATGGTTTGTTTTGAATGCAGGAAACCTAGACATGTGAAAGCTGATTGCCCAACACTCAAGTCTCACTCAAGAAAAGAAAATGGTGAGGAGAAATCTAAGTCTAGGAAGGTCAAAAAGAAATTTCAAAAGATGTTCTGGGTGAATTCTACATCCGATTCATCTAAGACTGAACTTGAAGATGAGACAACAAACCTGTACTTAATGGCAGACGATCATCTTGATCAAGAATAGGTATGTAAACTATCCTACGACCAACTCCTTGAAGTTGCTGAAAAAATTCATGCATCATATAGAAAACTTAAGAAAACTCCTGCTAGTTTGAAATTGGAGTTTTTAAATTTACAAAAAGAGCATGAATTTTTTATTAAAGATCATTCTACAATTAATTCAAATCATATGGCTCTACTTGATGAATATGATGATTTAAATAAAAAGTATTCTGAATTAATTAAAGAACATGATTCATTGAAAGTTTCACACACATCACTTGAATCTGATTTTAAAAAATTTAAAAAGATGGAGCATAATTTGAGAATTGATAATGATGCTTTAAAAGATTCTAACTTGAGGATTAAAAATGAATTGGATGCACTTAAGAAAAATTGGATGACACCTAGACTTGATCAAAAGCCAAAACCTAGGAATAGGCATTACTACCCAAACCATTTAATAATAGATCGTGTTCTAAGACCCTACGAGTGTAAACCTCGATTAATATAGGCCTCTCCTCATTGGTGTTCGCCATTTCTTTGGCTAATTTAGCCAGCCAATCTGCTTTAGCATTCTGTCCTCGAGGAACTTGAGCTATTTCAACATTTGGAACTTACTTCAGAATTTTGAGAGCTCGTCGGTGGTAATAGGCCAATTCAACTTTGCTAACTTTATAAATACCGAGGACCTGATTTATTACGATCTGAGAATCACCGAAGATTTGGAGATGTTGGATTCTGACATCAATCATAATCTCTAGCTCTGCTAATAGAACTTCGTACTCGGCTTCATTATTGGTCCAAGGTTCAGTCAAACTGAATGAAAATCTCATTATATCTCCTTCAGGTGCTATGAAAATGAGACCGATGCTGGCTCGGGCTCTTACAATATTTGGAGGTTAAACTGGTCTAATAAATGACATCCTGTTAAAGTACATCTCTCAGAAAGGAAGCATTTATTCTCCTCGACCTGCATTATTTGCTCATCAGGCAAATCATCGTTGAGTGAAGAGTCTGCTACAATTGGATGTGCAGCAAGAAAATCTGCAAAGGCTTATCCTTTCACTGCCTTTTGTGGCATGTATGTGATATCAAACTGTAATAATAATATTATCCACCTGGCCAGACGACCTGTCAATGCTGGTCTTGTCATCAAGAACTTCAGCGGATCAATCTTTGATATTAGTGTGATTTTATGGGATAACATGTAGTGGCGGAGTTTCTGAACTGCAAAAATCAGCGCCAAGCAATACTTTTCAATAGGAGAATAACGGCTTTCTGCTACAATCAACCTTCGACTGATGTAGTAGAGTGCATTTTCCTTCCATTCTTCATTATGTTGGGCCAATAGTGCTACGAGGGACTCTTCTAGTGCTGCCGTATACAGTATAAGATGCTTCACCAGAATTGGCGCTGCTAGAATGAGAGGATTTAACAAGTATTTTTTGATACTATCAAATGCTTTCTAACATTCTGCGTTCCAATTGAAACGGACATATTTCTTCATTAGCTTTGAAAATGGCTGGCACCTACCCGATAGATTTAATATGAATCTCCGAATGAAAGCTAGTTGTCCTTGCAGCGAGCGAAGGTGTTGAAGGTTCTTTGGAGGTGGCATCTCCATGATTGCCTTGATCTTGTTGCCAACTTTGATACCTCAATGACGGACAACGTACCCTCAAAATTTGCCAGAAGAGACTCCAAAAGCACATTTGAGAGGATTCATTTTTAGATCATACTTCCTAATCCTTTCAAATACAATCCTCAAGTCATTTAGGTGATTTCTTCGATCCATGCTCTTGACAATAAGGTCGTCCACATAGCACTCAACTTTTTGATGTATCAGATCATCAAATATATGATTCATCTCCCGCTAATAGGTGGCGTCAGCGTTCTTCAGGCCAAAGGGCATGACCGTGTAGCAGAATATGCCAATGGACGTTCTGAATAATGTGTGCTTTTCATCTTCAGGTGCCATTTTGATCTTATTATAGCTTGATGATTCATCCATAAATAAAAACATGCAATAGTTAGATGTGTTATCCACTAGTAATTCTGACACAGGTAGTGGAAAATCATCTTTTGGGCATGCTTTGTTGAGGTCTCTAAAGTGAATGCATACACGAATCTGTCCATTCTTCTTTTTTACAGGGATGATATTGGCAATCCAATCGGCATACTTTTCTTCACAAATAAAACCAGCCTCTATAAGCTTATTTATTTCAGCAATCACCTATTATTCAGTCTCCAATCTATTCTCCTTGGAGCTTATTTGACGGGAGCTGCATCTGATTTGATGGCCAATCTGTGAACTACTACATCAGGAGATAAGCTGGGCATCTCAGCATATGTCCAAGAAAAGCAATCCCTAAATTCACAGAGAAGTTCTTTTATTTCTTCTATTTATTCTTCAGGTAGGAGAGAACTAATGAAGGTTGGACGAGGGTCTTCCTCAGTTCCCAAGTTGACTTCTTTTAGCTCGTCCATAGTGGCTGTCTATCCACCATCCTCGAGCTCTTCTAGTACAGGCTTGGCTTCTATGGGTTGATCATCATAATCATCAACTTTGTATGTCTATTCAGCACCATCATCCTCGGATTCAATTTTCATACATGTGATTCTCCGGCAAGTCTCTTTTTTGAGGAATTTTTTATTTGATGAATTTGATACATTTATATGCATCTGTATCCTTCTATCATAGTGGACACGGATTCCTTCCATATCAGAGGCCCAAGCTTGTACGAGGTTGTCGCTTGGTGGTAGGAATATTAACTTGTTTTCATAACATGCTTTGAATATTTTTTTATTGAACCTAGGTAGCCTCGTAGGAAATAACTCTTCGGAATCGAGGAGCATACAACACTAGTCATTATTCTCCTCTTCACGAACTCCCATGGAATATAGCACATTCTTTGGCCCAATCCCATTTTTAAGGGGAGGCAAATAGAGGGTGGAGAGTTCTTCAACTTTATGCACCTCGCACGGAATGATTTCCTTGAAGTGTTGCAAAGGAATATACGTGATTACGAGTGCACTATCTGAAATTGATAGGCTATCTATTCTTCTATAGAATACATTTTGAACCGTGTTCATATAAATAGAGTCGTAGTCATAATCATCATTTGAGTATTCAACCTCCATACTCCTTTTGGTTGTTGACTGACGTATCTTCTTAGATTTTGTAGGGGTGGCATCACTTTCATCTATGTCACTCCCTAAATTAGGTATGTATTTTGTTTATTTTGGGATGGTTGATACCTTGGGAAGAGTCGGCGTTGCCTTCTTTCTTCCCACCTGCTTCTTCTTGGTTTAGGTTGCTTTGCAGTCTCTAGTTCTGATGTCTGTACCTCAAGAGAATTTGATGGCTTCAACTTCTTTGGAATGAAGTATTTTGCATCTTCATATATCTTCACTTCATGTACTGCAAATGATTGAATGTCACCAAAGATTCTAAATTCCTCTCCATCCCTGAAGATATATGAAGCTAGAGTCTTCTGCCCCTTCTCATTAAAGTTATGCACCATTAGCTTATCTGACCAAAGATGCTCCACATCGAGGCATAGTGATCTTAGTGCTTTCAAGCTCATTAGATTTATAGATGACCCTGGATCGATCAAGATTCATCTAATCATCATCCCATCACTTTCTACAGTAACATACAAAGGACGGTTATGATCTGCAGTCCCAAGCATCCTGTCTTCTTCAGAGAAGGTAATGAACGGCTCATTAAGAGCTTATAGAACTTCAGTCAAATTACGTTCAGTAAAATGCGTCTCGTATCTTTCAGGATCTTTGAGAGTCTAGATCAAAGTTTTCCTGAGGTCTTTAGACATAACTAAGGCATCATATATGCTGAGTTGTGCAAGTATTTTCCTCAGATGGGATAAGATAATATAATCTACCCAGTGGCTGAATTATTCTTTTTCTTGGGATCTTCAGGGATTATGTAATCATTGATAATTATCTCTTTTCCCTTATCTTTGTTAGGAGCCCCTTTCTTTGATGGAGGCTGCAGTACCTTGCCACTTCTCAGCTACAACTAGGCAACCTCCTCTGGCTCATACTCATTTAATGGTATATTTTCTTCTGAGTCAGCCATTGTTTCTTCTAGGGATTCATCTGTTGATTCAGAGTCACCACCCAGATTTATGTGTCCCTTCTACGATGCTATGTCAGGGTCCGACCCATCTTCCTTTGGAAAATATAAGTCCTCTTCTGAGCTATAGTCCATTGATGTCACCATCAAACAGGATCCAGAGGGTACTTCTTCAGCGTATTCTTCTTTGGTCAAGGTACTCGACGCCACCGAGATGACCCGACATATTTCTGTTGGAAGAGAATTCTCATCATCTTCTTTGGCTTCATCTATCTTAAGCTCTGACATGAAGTCAGAGAGTTTGATAGGTCGCCTCACAGTCTGATAATATTCATCCAAACTGTCGATAACTCTCTGAGTTGTAGTCTTTTTATCCTTGGGCTTCTTCAGCTTAGTCTTCTTCTTAGAGGGCTTCACCTTTCCAAGCTTCAAAGTACCTGCTTGGTTAGAAAACTGACTAGATGAAGACGCTTGTATCATAGGTAGAGCTTTCAAATTTAGCACTGGTTATGTAGGAGACTTCCACTTCACCCTCTGAACTCCTTCGAGTTGTTTCAACATTTTTATAGTTTTCTTAGAGACCGTAGTCTCCCACTGTTCTTCTTGAGCTAGCTTCTTTTCATTTCTTCTTTCTTCAGTCCGGGGTACGGAAGAGGACGTGACCACCCGAGTTGATTCTTTTTTCTAGGAATGGTCAACACATTATCTGATAATGTGAGCCCTCCCTTTTGATATTTTTTTTCGAGCCAATCTTTAAAAACATAACAATCTTCAACTGGATGGCTGACTACCCGATGGTATGGACAATAATTTGGGTCACCAGTATGCTTCGACTCTTCAGGTCTCTTGCATTCAGGCAGTTCTAGACTCATTTTCAACACCTGTCAAAATAATTTGGCGACACTCTCCCTCTTGAATGAATATTCTTTATTCATTTTAACTTTGAGGGATTTGGAACATTCTATCACCAGTTCATATTGCCTGTCTCTGATGTTATCCTCCACCTTGATAAGTTCGTTGCTTATCATTTCCCCCGAGTATCAGCTTCAGCTAGGGGTGAGGGTTGTAGGATTGTTTGGGCTTTTCTTTATACTGCATTGGTTGCTTGCCCTTATCTATGTTGTAAATCAACTGCCTTTCTCTATCAGCTCTAGAGAAGAATGTAGAGTCGGCCTCACCCCTTCTAACACCCTGGGCCTTAGTCATTTTAGGCTTATAGAGTGATTTTCTGATCTAGATAAGTTCAATTTCTCAAACTTGGCCATTCTATCTAGCAAGTCTTGAAATGTGTTGATAGTAGCCATGCTCAGGAAGAGTTGCATCTTGTCATCAATGTTGCCCATTAACAACTATACGGCTTGTTCTTCTTCAAGCAGCTGCTCACATTTCATACTCAGGTTGCATCAGCAAGTGATATATTTGATAACTGATTCTTTCCTTTTCCTTTTATCCAGAGGATGGTCAGCGATTGTTATTTTCTCTATTGCACTGGCGAATCTCTTTACAAACATATTTTCCAATTCTACAAAGGTCTTCACATAATCATTCAGCAATTCAGCATACCATTCAAAAACAGTTGCTGTCAAACTGCTGACGAATTGTCCGAAGAGTAGAGCCTTATTGCCTCCTGTGTTCCCGCTTGTGACTTTAAACTATGCCAGGTGCTGTCTGGGGTTATTATTACTCTTAAAAGTATTGAACTTTGGTACTGAATATCCTCTTGGATATGACACTTGGTCATACTCACCCAGATACGGACGACCCTTGCCCACTAGTTTCTCCGCCTGATCAACGGCTATAATAGCCTTGATCTTTTCTGTGATTAGTCCTTCAAACTGTGCAGTGATCATGGGCTCAGAAGTACTTGCAATGTTCTGCAGAGTGGGTAGGAGGATTAGGCATGGTGCCAACTACAGCATTTCTCTGCATCATTTGCATTATTGCCCCCATCTGAGCCATCATCTCAGTCATCTTCTCATTTAACTGAGAGATTTCTCCATCGTTAGCTCTCATTTGTTGCCTCATCTGTCTTCTCATGTTGGCGAGTGTGGCATTTTCATCATCAAGGGGATTTTCCTCTACTTCTTCCACTTGCTCCACTTCCTCTTGGGAATGACCACCTCTATCGATGGTGGATCCCTCTCTACAACGGAGTCGGTGTACTTGCCTGGATGGAGGTTGCCAATGGTTATCGCCTTCATCTTCATCGTAGTAGGCTTCGTCATTAGCATTGGTGTGTCTCACCATATAGACCACCTCCATGTCTAAGGTGTTATTTATGTCTTCCAATTCTTCTTCTAAGTTCTCTCCCATAAATTCATCAATATTTTCTTCCCCTTCAAAGTATTCTTGTTCCTCGATGTTATCTCCCCCTTACATATTTCCTTCTTCTTCTAGTACATGGATCTCTGAGTGACGCTGCCACTGGATTTATGGCTCTTGGTTAGGCACGGGGACTTCTTCAACCAGCGGACTACGGTCAAAATTGGTTTCTTCTTTGGAGGGGATGGAAGGCAACAGAATCCTCTGGAGGATTCTCCAAGGTGTCTACCGTCTGGAGGAGTGTCATTATGGGTCCTTCTTGGGGCCCACTTCTGACGTTGTTTGTAGACTGGGGTGGATCTCAGGGAAGCTTCACCAAATGTCACACCCAGATCTGTTCTTCTTTCTTTCTTTCATCTTTATGAGGTCTTGGCCTCTAAATTTATTTTCCTTTCCATCGGGACCTTTCGGCGGAGGATCCCTGAATATATGGTTAAGGTGTCACGCCCCGATGTTCACCGTGCGGGATATACTTTCTTTCTCTTCTTTCCACCACAATAGATAGGCGTTCTCTTGGCGAGGTTCTCTTAGCCTCGATCATCAAAGGTCGTTGAAACTTCTTCTTTAGACCTTTTTCCTTCATAGTCTTCAGGAACCAGTGTACCCGAGCTAATAGAGTCTCAGGTTCACTTCTCTTTAGAGGGATTGGGGCTTCATGTCGTTGATCCCAGAAAGATTTCTTCAGTTCACCGGTAGAGCTATTCCTCTTATACCATTTCAAGTCAGTAAACTTGTTCCGGGTAGGAACATTGGCTTCAGGCTCTTGGGCCGGCAGATTGGAGGGATGGACTGGGAGTTGTTGTTGTTGAGCTCGGAGTTCAGCGTTCATCTTCCTTCTCTACCTACTTATAAGCCTTTCTCTATATGAGGAGGCTTCAGCATTATACTTTTTAGGTCCAGATAACCTGGTTGACAGAGTAGTGGTGTTGGTAGTCACCACAGAGATTCTTCCATCAGCCACAATCCTCTTGATGGCTGGGATTTTAGGCTATGAAAGCCTCTCGAACACAAAAATCCTCCCACGAGGATTTTTGGTAGCAGGTCATTGTGCTGGTAGATGCACATGTTGGGTAGGAGCTTTAGCAGCGGGTTGCTACGCCGGCAGATGCGTGTGACGAGTAGGAGCCTTGGAAGCTCTTGTAATGACAGCAGGGAAATTAACACTACCAAATTGGATGGTAGCTCCAGTGCTTCCGGTCTCAATGAGAGCATTAGCAAGTTGAATCTTGGCTCCTCATCCCAGCTGGACGGTTATCAGGGTGTTCTGTAGATCCATCTGCATAAATGAAAGGCAAGGATTAGTAATCAGAATATGATACATCACCCCAAACTTTTAAAATGCAGAAACTTACACAAAACACAAAACAAAATAAATAAACATTAGCAAGTGATTAAAATAATATAAATTTAAAAAAATCATGCTAAATGTCATATGAATTTGTTGAATGATCATTTTTAAAGACTCAAAACTTTGAGTATGATTTGATATAGCTGCTACTATAGCACTTAGACGCTAGCCAAAGATGGAAATAGAAACTAATCCCCAGTGGAGTCGCTAAAAATCTATGGGCTTCGAAAATTCGGCCCCGACTTCCCCATGCTTTTCTTTTTATTCGGCGAGGGAGTTTTAACTGAATAAGTTTCGAGGTAAATTTTGGAAGGCAGATGGGATTGTAGATAAGACACTACACAGAGATTCCACCCTCATTTTGCGAGGACTTTATGATCTGAGTTCTGGTTTCCAATAGGTGCAAGCCCCTATAGTTAATTACCCCTCCCGATCACGAGAGAGAACTTTCGATTAAGGCTAGTCATCAATCAGATACATAGAATATATGTGCTATCTGGCATATAGTAGCAGCAATGGGTTTGGAAATTGGAAAATATTTAAAAGTTTGGAAATGGTTGAGAATTTGAAGATTTGATATTTAAAATTTGGAAATTGTACCATCTTGCACTTAAAGTGGATGGTGGGGGAATAGATGATGGACCCGATCAAGATCCCATGGTTCCGTCATCCCGGGCCATCGTGGTCCCTGGTCTACTTAGTTAGAGGAGGTAGTCGACCCAACCTAACAGAAGAATCCTTGTTGGCAGCCATGAGTTACTTCATCCAAGGGGACCTTGTAGACCTGGGATGGGTATTTGTCTAAGGGGACAAATTTGAAT